GCATGCATGCATGGGGGGAGAGGAATTAGAAATTAATTATCACAGGGCACGTTTTACAGACCCACGGGCCAGGATTAAGAGCCCAAGCCCTCTTCCAAAAGCCGAATGGATTAGGGCCAGCCCTGCAACCTTACACATTTGGAGAACTCAACAGGGTTTCCAGCTTGGTGGAAGGTCCTCCTTGATGCATTTTTACATGTGCATGAATGACTGCTTTTAGAATTAGTATTGGCAGCTATTTATATTCAAGCAATTTTTTTGCCCCTGATTTTTCTTCTTTTGAAAGAAAAAAAAAAGGTGCAGAGGGGAAGGTCTATGTAGAACAGATTTAAACATATAATTGTAGGAAATGGTGGGAAGAGGAAGAATAACTTTCTCTGAGGTATTTAAGATACTTTTGCACCAAGAAGCCCCCCAGAACAGCCCCACCGAGGAGCTGGGCTGCAGTCCTAGTACTGCATTGCTGCTATGTCCTGATGAAGTGGGAGATCATGTGAACTCTGCCACCAGTGTACAGTGCTGGAGTCCAGCAGATCTGACTCGGAGGTTTCCCAGCTCGAGTTCTGCCTCCTCTCCCTGTCCCTAAGGCTTTTCTTGACAGAATTTGCCGCCTGCCCACTGTTTAACCGTAGTAGTGTCCCATAATGAAAAGGAAAACTGCATCTCATGCATAAATGCAATTAAGGTTTGCTGAAAAATCACAAATGTAGAGAATTCAGACATTGACACAGACTGTGATACCTATTGGCACAGCTGAAAATCATTTCCCAGTAGCAGAAATGAGGTAAACTGGACAGAGGTCAGCCTCATTTTACAGAGGAGGAATAAGGAAGAATGAATGTAGAACAAGCCCGAAATCCTTTAGCTAAAGCTCCTGGAAAGAGTTTTGGAGAACTCCCCCACAGCCTGGTGCCTCCTCTCAACTGTGCTGCTCCTCGCGCCACAGGGCAGATGAGCTGCAGCACGGACATGGGGGGGATGCCCAGGACACCCCCTACTTACAGCATGGTCCAAGACCCCCAGGACAGCAGGGCTGGAGATCACAGTGCTCCTACAGCATCAGCCAGGCAGGTGGGGGCTCAGCTGAGCTAAATGGGCTCCGGGGCAGGGACAGGGGGCCCAGGTGAGGCTGGCCAGGGCAGTAGGGCCAATTAGTGCCCTCAGGCCCTGATGAAGAGGCCCCCTGAGTTAATAATGGCATTAAAATGCTCAGTGCCACCACTTAGAGAAAAGTTCAGCTTTGGTATTTTTGTTCTTGACCTGAAAAGGTCCTGAGCAGCGCAAGGTCCGGGCGGGTGCCCTGCCACTGGCGGAGAGCAGGATGGGCCATCATGCCGTAGGGAGAAGCCCCACTTGAGGAATGAGATTTGAGGAAGAAACAGCAAGGATCTGGGGACATTGGAGAATCATAGCTCTCAGGCAGGGCATTCAAGCTTCACATCTTACGAAAGCCCTCTCTAGGTAATGTAGTTAGGCCTGATACAGCTTTTAACAGTGGTGGAAGCAGAATTAACCCCTTGTATCCTAAGGGATCTGGGTAGCTCCCAGAACCGTCAGCAACGCTTTCACCTGGAGTTTGCAACTCCAAATCCCATCTCAGTCAACAGCGCACGATCGCTCTGGGGGGGTCTCCCCGAGCTGGCGTCTCTCCGTCTCGCACCTGACGTCTCCACAACCCCCACAGTCATTGCTCCTGAGTGAAAAGGCTGCACAGGCTGCAGGTGACAAACTGCCCCACCTGCCAGGTGGTCCATCCAGGTTACATTTCTAACCATATTTGTTCTGCAGCTTGGCAGAACTCAGTTTCCCAGGGATCCTTTTAATAGCACTACATATACCAAAAAATAAGAGATGCCCGGTGGATACGATACGTTAGGCTGTTAGAGCGCGCGCACTCATTCCCAGTATCGTAAATACAGATCTTGTTTCAGACTAGCAACCCGCAGAATTCCCTGCAAATTCTGGTTACGGCTGAAGCAGCTTGGGGCTTCAGCTTCGACGGGAGGTGGTGGGCGCGGGGAAGCAGGGGGTGCCGACGCTGTGGCAGCAGAGGCAGGAAGGTGAGACTGGAGCACTGCACGCCGAGGGCTGGCTGAGCTGTCAGTCACCCATCCCTCTGAGCGCCAAAGACCTTCCTCCATTCCCTTCATTATCCCCTGGCGTTTTTTATAGCTTTAGGGCACTACTTCTTACAGCAAGAACAAAATGTATGCTGTTTCTTTGTGCCTCCTCAGCAACGAACACAGGTTCTGAACTGTTCCCGCTTAAGTCAAAGGAATCTTTTATCCCCCACTCCAGGAAGATCAAGTGAGTTTCATGTATCACAGTGAATTTATCTGGAACCAGACCTCTGAGAGCCAGATCCAGGGAAAGACTTAGGCACGAACAATGATTAAAAAAATATATACCTGCTCTCCGAAGTAAAATCCCGAATGAAGTGCTCAAGTTCTGTATGTCGTGCCTGGCGGAGCAAGGCACAAAACCTCACATGTAGACTAAAAAGAAATCTGGAATTTGCCACGAGTGAAATCTGGGCAAAGAGAATTGTCTTAGCTCCAAGTCACCTGAATCTAAGTGAAAACATCTAGGCGCAGCTGCGTCTCCATGCAGAGAGGAACTGGGAACAACCGGGGGACAAGTGAGAAGGATCAGGCGCTGCAGATCCTCCCGGTTAGCGTCCTCAAGGGAGAGAAGGAGCATACAGGAGCTCTTGTTTCTGTGACAGTCATTGCAGATTTGGGGGCTAAAAGTTCATTTAGGATTTGTTTTACATTTTTAAGCCCTTTTTCTAGACCTGGCTGAAAAGGGCAAATGCAGAATTGTCACATAAGCACAGCAGTCACAAAAAGTAAAACTGCAGTGGCACCTTAGCCATTTTAAGAACAAGTATGAACCCGATTTCCCTTCCAGAAGGGAATAAGCAAGAAGCTACAACTCTGTAACTGTAAGATAGTCACTGGTGAGCAGGAACACAGAGTAAGTGAAGCTCAAGCTAGGTTTGACAGAGATGAGAGAGGATTATCCCATTTCAGAACAGCTTTAGGAGGCTTAAATTTATGTTTGTTCCATGACGGAAAACAAAAGGTTTGTGAAATGGAGCGAGTTTGCAGTGTCCAATCTGGAACGGCAGTGACTGGGTTTCAGTTTGGATCTTTCCTTTCCACGAGCGCAGTCTCTTCAGAAATCTGGACACCTTCATTTTGAAAGCGTCATTGCATTCGGTGTGTCAAAAATTAATATTTTAGATTTAACAACAACAGCAAAACTAGTATAACTCAGCAAGGTTTTGCTGAAAAATTCCAACGAGCCCCAGGTAAAGCAGACGTGGGTATTCACGCGTGGGCATGCGATTTCCTGGAGGACGGGGAACAGGGACTGTTACAGACGCCGGAGAGAGGGAGGAAGCCGGAGTGGGATGATTTTGCTGGGGGCAGTCCGGGCCCCCAGACCTCCGCGAGACCTGGCCCCGCTCTGTGCCACGCCAGCTCCGGGAGTCCCTGCTCGGCCCTGTCCTGTCCCTGCCGGAGAGCAGTCGGGGCGCCTCGCCCCC